TTTTTTTGGTATTCCCTCTAAATTGGGATAGGCTTGGATCTCACAAAATTGATCAAAAAATAGCTCAAAACCTCAATTTTGGAGAGGATTTTGCAAGAAATCACTGTAAAACACAGTGTTTTTGCTTCATTTAAGTTTAACGGTGGAATTTGATGTTAAATTGGATTTCAATTGATTTTGGTATTAGACTTCAATTAAAACGCTTTCAGAATTATTGGTGGAAGTTGATGTATCATTAGCTTTCTATTAACAACGTGTTTAAGATTAATTGTAGATTTTTTTACAAACAAAGTTTCATTTATATCATTGTCAAAATCATTGGGGAAATTGATGTTTATATTAGATTTCAATTAACATTTCTTCAAGACTAATTATAGAAAAATGAATGTGTAATTCAATTTCGATTAAATGCCTTTTCAAGATCATTGTGGCAATTGATTTTGACTTAGATTTCAATTAAAATCCTATTATATTTCATTGTAGAAATTAGGCATTACTTAAATGTCAATTAATGTCCTTTTCAAAATCATTGTGGAAATTGTTTGTTGTTTAGATTTAAATTATGTTCTTTTCAACATAATTTGATTGAATTGCTTGTGTATTGGATATCAACCAAGACCCTTTTAGAATTGATTGTGAAAATTAACTTTCAGTTAACAGTTAATGGTGGAAATCAATTCTTATAATTAGATGTTAGTTAAAGTCCTTTTATTTGATGTAGCCTTGTAGTGGGGAGCAAACAGATACAAAATCAATTCAAGTTAGTTAAGCATCACAATTTCCACAATTGATCTTAAATCGACTTTAAACACAATCTGATACTAAATCAAAGCCACCACCAACTTTGAAAAGGACTTTGACTAAAATCTAATTGTAAGAACTAGTTTCCACAATGAGTTTTAAAGAGAACTTGGCAATGATTTTTATTGCAATCTAATATCTAATAAATAGCAAGTTCCACAATCAATGTTAAAAGGATCTTGATTGAAATCTTCTAATTTAAGTTTGCCTAATTCTATTGTAATTCCAGTTTAGTTGGTTTAAGAACACACATGTTACAAAACCCTATATTTTACAGTGTTTTTTGCCCTAGGAGTGCTGGGAATAAGACACAAACTATGTTTTTGAGTAGATAGTATTTGTTTAAAGTAATCCCTTGGAATATTCATTGCTATATTAAAACTGCTTTATGTACAAACTTCTAATTCAAAAGGTTCCCTCTAGATCTGATCACTTCTGTGAAAAAAAAAAGCTTTCATTTCAAAAGCTTTCCGCTGGATCTCTGGAAATAGTCATGGTATTTTAAAAAAGCTATAAGTATGTATGTAAGTGTTTCTTGCAAATGCTTTCCTTCAATGAAAATACACAAATCTAGGAAATCTACTTTCCCAGAGATCCAGAGGAAAGCTATTGAATCTAGATATGTATAGTATTATATCTTCATTCGCTCATGATGCTACATTCATTGTGGGCAGAGAGAGATTCACCTGATAATATTTATCATTGGTGTTGCACATTGATAGTGGGCAGACGAAGAGCTGTTATTTGTTGTCATTGACATTGGACATGGAGACTGGGCACAGACAGATCAAAAAAATTGCGTTTCGCCTAGTTCTCAGAGCAGTTTTTGAAATTTTGCACGGTATTTACAGTGTTTTCTAAGGGTTTTGAGCTAGTGTGTGCTCTCCCAAGCACACCCACCCTCTAAAATTACACGGCAGTGATTTCGTCTATTTTTGGATGCTTTTGGTGCGGAAATTAGATTGGGTAAGGGCGCGGCGGATGGATGGTACAATCCTGGGGTGGGGGGTCCTGCTCCTGATTTTATAGATATAAAATGCAGTGATGGACCCCCAGTATACCATAGACTGACTGAGACCTCTATGAAATCAGGCGTGTTGACAAAATATTACAAATCTATATTTTGAGAAGACTTGACCCCCTTAAATCCTTAAAAGGAGCAAATTTTCTATAAAACCACGCGTGTTGACGGCCAGTAAGTTTTCTATAATCTGATGACATCATATGACATCTGACGATACTCAAAAAACATGCACAGTCTTTTTCCTTCTCTGCGTTTCTCTGGTGCGCACGGCTCTGGTCCCACATTTGTTGCCAAGCGCTTGACAAGAAAATTCCCCTTCGCTCTCATTGCAACCGCAAACACACAACATGTTAGACCAATTAAGATCAAACATTGAGACCAAAGGCGTTTGTAAACACTTCGATAAAACAACCAAAAAACACTTTCATAGATTCCTAAAATTTTATAAACTCCTAAACGCTTTCTAACTGCAATGATGCGACTCAACATGGCTCAACCATGTTGCTCAACCTTCACCTTGGAAAGCTGCATAAACTGTGGATGAGATGAGCCCACTGCGTTCTCACAGGTGGACGTCTCAAAAGCTGATTCTCGATCAGCTTGAGCTTGTCGTGCACAAGCTTTCCCCACACCTCGCGTTTCCGTGTTGGAAACTCGGCCGAAAAGAAGTTGGCGGCTGCGTTCAACAGATCTGTCCATGTGCTCTTGGAAGCGTTTGGACCGTGCGTTGACCTGATTCTGGGTCAACCCAGTGCCAATAAAAATCTCCTCGATCTCCTTTTGCACGCATCCGATGCTCTATTTGCCACATGGCTCCGACCGCTCCAAAAAGACAAGTCAACTCGTGAACTTGTGCTTTCCACTTCGTGAAAAATTGGACTGCAAATGTTTTGTGATATATGTTTTCTGCATATCTTTTTGGTATATGATTCTTGAGCATCCTGAGATATCTTGGACAGGGCCACACCCATGCGGGACTGCAGCTGTTGCCTGGAAAGCGATTGGTGGAAGTGCTCCTTCTTCTGTTTCTTTGGCTGTGTAACCTGATGCTGTCAACAACTGGTCTCTCATGCTGTTCAGCGTTGCCCGAGCCAGAGCTCGCCGCTGCTGCTGCTGCTCCGACACGCCTGACGCCTGGAGCGAGTCGCTACCTCGCCAGAGGCCCTTCAATTAACAAAAAGTCAAAAAGAGTGGATGCCCGCACAAACGGACTTTGTTTTTATGCGCTTTGTCCTAGTATCTTTTTGGCTTCTAATGCCAGTGGTGCGAGATATGCTGCCTGAGTTGGCTTGCATTGTCAGCGATTTCTGTCTCTTCTCCTCCTCTTCTTCTTGCTCTGGCTTTTCTTCCTTCCTCTCCTTCTCTTCCTCTTCTAGAGAAACAGAAAGAAGAAAGCAAATAGGAAGAGAAGAAGAGACAAAGAAAAGCAAAGGAAGAGGTAGAGGAAAAGAAAGAAGAGAAAGAGAAAGAGGCAGAAGAAAGGGAACAGGAAGAGAAGAAGAGGAAGAGAAGCGGAAGAAAAAGAGGCGAACAAGGAACGCAAGGAAGAGAAAAGGCAAAAAGAAAGAGAAAAGGAAACAGAAGCAGCAGTAAAGTCGATGAACTGGGCCCCAACCAACTCTTCCCCTCATACCAGCCGGTGCCCAATTGTCAGGCAAAACAGATGCAAAAATCATGGATCTGGAAGGGAGTAGAATTTGAACCCTTTGGGGACGGCTTTGGGCTCCTTTTTTTGGACGCGCCAAGGCGCCAAACACTGTAAATTAGTGTTTTTGCAAATTTTGATACAAAAAAACAACAGAACGGGTGTCCCTGAGAGTGCGTTTTTTCATTGATTTGCAGATGTGTTGCAATGTGTTGCAATGCTGCAAAAAAAACAGCGTAAATACCAACGTCTTTCAAGGTGCGTGAGCGCAAAACACTGTAAAGTGTCTTTTTTAGCAGAACGATAAAACCACCCTCATAAATACTGTTTTTGAACACTTGATAGCCTAAAACCATTAGTATTTACAGTGTTTGCTGCCGCAGAAGTGCACAAAAACGCGCAAATAGCGTGGTTTTGATGCACTGTTTCAGCCTGGAACAAACGCCTATTTCCCGGGGAAACTCGGAGCAAAACCTGTGTCAACGGTCGAAAGCCTCGACTGCCGGAGGAAGGACCACGACGGTGCCGGAGGATTCCGGTGGGTCGGAGGCCAAATCCTCCATGCGTCTTCCGTTTAGGCTCGGCCAGGTCGGAAGTGAAGCATAGTAAAGCGCTAGACTCAGACCAGTCTGTGAAGTTCGACTCATCGTCTGGCACATAGGTTGTTTGACCGGGAACTCCTCCAATTCAGGGACTGGTGGCCCTGACTGCCTGGACCTCTTGGAGAAGAACACAACCTAAAGAGAACTTGAAAGTATTGGAACATGTCAAAACACCCAAGGTCAGGTGGTATGTGTGGTTGGTGGTTCTTGGTTGGTTGGTTAACACCAATGTTCCCCCTCTTCCTATTGTAGTACAGTATAGTCTAGTTGTATGAACGTGTCCTGTCCTCAACCCCTTAGAATGCCCAACCCCCACGAAAGCAAAGTGGATTTCACCTGCTCTCCACATAGCCCCATAGAGGACGAGAGAGCTTGGTCCTTGCTGCCCCAGAAGCCGCTTCCAGCACCGTGAAGGGCGTCTCCACCTAGAGGGAGGGCTCCAACTCCACCAGCTCAGAGGTTGTGCAACAAAAAGAGGGAGGGCTCCTGGTTGGTGGGTTCAACTCAAACTATTTGGAATTGTGGGGTCCGCACTGATCCCAACTGGGTTGAACATGGTTGAACATAAAAGTATCATAATACCTGCATCTCTGTAGTTGTGTAAGTGGTTGTTCCCTATACTTCCATCTCTATACTGTACCTCCAAATTTCTATGAGCACCGGAGCAGTGTAGGATCGAAGTTGAGTTTGCTGGAGGACCATTGTTGGTATGTGGATTGTTAGGGTTCAGGGTGTGTGGAAGTCTTCTGAACCCGCCGCTGCCGCTGAAGCCAACGAAGGACCTGAGGATCACGAAGGATCCTCGCCCAAACTCTAAGGATCACGGGGCCCGGGCCAAGAGGAGCGCTCCCAGTCTCAAGAAACACTCTGGACGACTCTGTATGCCATGAAATCATGATGGCATGAAATCTGGCATCATGGATTTTGTAGGATGCCCCTCCTAGAAAAAACATTCAGTCCAGCCACAGGCGGTCCAAACAGCCAGAAAACACTTCGGAAGGGGTTTTGACGCCCGCACGATTTTGGAAGGTCTTTTGATGGAGATCCTCTCTCCATATCTCTGCCTCACAATCGGGCATGGGGATACAATTCGGTACAGTGGCACAACCTGGCTCATGATCAGAAAGAAACAACAAACATCAACATTCTGAGATAGGGTAACTCACAGGTCTCTTTATGCTAGCACCAGTCTGATGGAAAAGTTGTTGTTTCCCTCTCCATGAGGACAGTGGCTTTGTGAAAATAGGACCCAAAAGAAGCCTGGCTATATACAAATAGTCTTCACAATTCAACTCCCCAGCCATTCAATCCAAGCGAATGGATCCCTGAAATCCTTCAATCCACATGTTACTGATTGCATCCCAACCCATCTCTGACCTGTACAAGGACGAGCCAGAAGCAAGAGGCTGTCGGAAGGGAAAAATCTTATAACGCCGAACCCCACCTGCGCCAGGATCTCTGCCAAATGACGATTTCATCATTGCAAGATCATTGCAACGCCACGCCAGGGGATTCACTCGGTTTGTGAAAATACACTCCCCTGCAAACTAACATGGAACCTGAGAATTGACCGGTGGTTTCGACTATCTTCCTAAGACCAACCCAGTGGTTTTGGAGGTCCCATTCGGCGGCGGTGGGGGTTTTTGAAGAGGTGGGCCTGGAGCTCAACCCCCTCCCCCTGGCAAACCATCGAGGGAGAGCGAATAGTGTCAAGCCCACGAAAACTATTTGGGAAGTGTAGTAGTGGTAGTAGTAGTCGTCGTCGTCGTCGGCGTCGTCGTCGTCGTGGTGGTGGCGGCAGCAATGACAGGAAGGCAAGCTTAGATATAGTTCCAGGGCTAAGAGGGCGCATTATTCCGCACCTTAAACAATTCCCATATATTCCCATAATTTACTTCCCCTCTGCTTGTGTACTACCTGCGATCGGAATTCGGATCGTCGTAATTCGGAGAGAATCTTCAGGTCCACGCACAAGGAGCCGCAAAGTTCTTTGGAACATGATCTTTCCCAACAACTCCATATAATCTATAGACAGTCGATCAATAAAGAGACATCATTTGGATTGCACAACCGCTGAACAAATTATAATAGGTGCTTGAACTATCATCAACAGTCTACACGTGTACTAAAGGCTTGGTGATCGTTCAGCGCTCAAAGCTGCAAAAAAGTAACACGTTGTCGCGTGAAAACAAGGCGGGCATTCATGCGGTCAAAGCCGAACCTGGTAGTTCGGGCGTGTGAATCTCATGACGCAAACAGTAAGAACATCCAATCCTTTTCAACAAAAGTCCAGGCGTAGGCAGTCTTCAAACTCCCTTGCGTCCAATGGCTCACAAAATATTTCTTGGCTACCTGAAACCAGCCAGCAGCCGATTGACTCATTGATACAATCGACCAGTTCCCACTGAAAAGCAGTCGGCTGTCCGGATACAATCCACCACAACCTCTCCAGAGACCCACTGCCGTGCCGCATGAACACGATTTGAACATATACCGACCCATTCTGCAGCCGTACTACAACGACTCCCTCCTTCCTCAATGTCGGAGGGATGCATCGAGAATCGTCTGGACTTCATTGGTGTTTACTTCGTCAGACTTCGTGCGCCAGACGTGATGGATCTGACACCTTATTATATTCACCAAATTTGATCATGTCCTCTAAACGTCATGAGGTCCATCCGAGCGGAAGTCGAGGGGGTCTTCCGTCATTTATATATATATATATACCTAGAGCCTGACTGACCTCTGTTTTGATGGGAAAAGACCATATTTTGGGAGAGTTGATCCTCCAAAACAGGGGTCACTCAGGCTCCAGGTATATATGTGTGACCAAACCAGGTCTTCAAATCCATCAAACAAACACTTGAAGTCGGAAGGTTGCTTGGGTTTTCCGACTCGGTCTACTAGCACCAGGATACTGACTGGTTGACCTACCGGTGGTACAGGTCAAGCTATTCATGGTGGACCAGGGCTCCAGGTTTTGACTGTATCAAGCACCATGGACTGTTGGGGCTCATGGTGTTGGGGCTCCATATTGGACTGTTTTGCACCATGAGCCCCTGGAAGAAAAGCCACGCTCGTTCAACAATCGGCACTGAGCTCTTGACCATGTCCAGCTATCTGGGCTGCCGTTAGCACAGCTAGCTGCTTAGGGAAATGAATCTTCAGTAGCTTAGTCTTCCATTCAGGGGCACATGCTCGACTATATTGGACACCATACTTTATAGTATCCTTCTTAATACATATCGGTCGATTCAGATCTCTTCGTGCCATGCTCCCTACAGCAGTCGGGTATAACTTCCAGAGACAGCGCTGCCGAAAACGTTTGGCCCTCGACGCGGAACGAACACTTTGGTCGCGCTGCACTGTTTGTGCATTCCTTCGAATTCCACATGGAAACAGCCAGGAGCAGCAGTACTGTACAAAGAGCCATCAATCTGGACGTTCGAGGCGAGCAAACGTGGACATCATCTGCCTCCTGCACTTATTATATATAATATATACGCTCTTATATAGCTTGGAACTTAGTTTTGTCAGGGAAGATCGGACAACAACTGCTGGGTTTGCTTACCTGTTTGGTGGTTTCAACTTGCACAAAAAAATTCTGATAGTGGGTTCAATCGTCCCAAGTTGCAAATGAGCAGATCATCTGAATCCACCACCTAGTTATGCATGCTTATCGGCTTATCGGTCTTGACAGGTGAACCTGGCAGAGCCCAGCCAAACGAGGAGTTGGTCAAACATCAGACAATATGGGTGTATAAATGTAATAGGGAGTGGAGGTCTCCCTAACTCAATGCACATAGCTCTATGGCTTTGAGTATATCCCATTTCTAGGGCCCAGTGGATGATGATGCCTGGTTGCACGCTGTTCTCAAAAATCGTGATACTCTTTTAGCAACTACATGTGATGGGACACACCCTAAATACTGTATGATACTGTGATACTGTGTGGTTTTAGAAGTGATTGGTCACATCCAACCGGTTGTCTCCATAGTGGCTGCAGGGTACCATTCTTGAGTTTTGAGCCACTTTGAATCCCGTAGTGTTGATGAAAGACATCCTGCAGGAAGACGGTGAACACGGACGGTCAACACCTTGATCAACGTCACTGCAAACCTGTGACAGAAGCAACATACTGGGCTCTCCCTAGACTGGTTAGTTCAGAATTCTCAGCACTGTATATATATATATATAGACGTGCAACAAATAAACACTGAACAGCGCAAAAAAAAACACAACGCACACACAAGAACTCTCAAAGCCTTGTACATCCAGCGGCTGAAAACTGGTCTTTCCTGGCAAATAAGCCAGTTCATGGATGCTACAAGCTCCACGAATGCACGGTGGGGAAGGTCACGGAGCTTCTGAAAAAGAACAAGCAATGGTCAGATTCTCATCCGAGATGGTATTTGGAGAGTAGGGATACTAGGTGCCTAGTACCTAGATACTCCAATTTTGGGGTTGAAACACTTCAACTTGGGAGATCATGTATCCTATGTAGTAATGGCCTTTTGTGGGGTATGCGTCCATACCAAAGACTCCAGACATGATGAGTTCATTTTGTAGGGTAATCAACCCAAGTCACACTCTACTAGGGCCTAGGGCCTAGGTTACCTCTACTAAACGCAGGCAAATCCTGGTGGACATCATACCACGTGGGTTCAGACATGGGTTCTTACATACTCTCTCTCAGCCCACGCACATCGAGGCTAAGAATTGAAATAACACCTTCTCTTTTGATGTGCAACTGCAGGGAGGAGCCAGCTACGGCCACGGCTTGGGCTGACCTGGGGTGTGACAGAAATCACTGGAGGATGGAAGGCCATCCCCAAGGAGCTGAAGATCCCCAAGGAGCTGAAGGCAATCCACAAACACTTACTGACCGCCCGCAGAAGGGCAGACACCGCGCCGCACCAACCAGGCGGTCGAATTCATGTTAATACTCCCATCGATGGCATGGGCGGCGGAACCCCATGCGCGCATGAAGCAAAACGTCACACGCGCCAGCATCTTTGGAAACATCATGGCACCATCAAGCTAAATAATCATGACCTGGCCCACTGGCCGCCCACTGGCTTCGACAATCCTCAGCTGGTAAGACATATATCTCTGGCAATCTCTGGCTAGAATATTCTCACACCAACAGCAAGAGTGGCCAAATTCCACCAGTGGTAAAACAAAACCTCCCACGTGCTGCACATGGGCATCTCAAACAGCTACAGTCGCTCGGCATGGCTTTAGCTGCCTTGTTGCATTCTTGCTGGGGAATCTTACGTAACGTCACATGGTTTTGCACCTTCTTTTCGTCAGTTCCACAAAGTCGTCACGTTCTTTTCGTCATGGCCGTTTCAACACAGAAGACCGATCGTGGTCGGATGGCTGGCTGGTTGCGGCTCAAAGAGCGCCGCGGCTCAGCATGGGG